TCCCTTTCTTGGGCCAGCTATACGCGTCCACTCCGATTCTAAGCGCGTCTACTTGCCGCATAGAATCTAGATTCTCGGGCCTCGGAGAATCGGTAGCGCGATCGCGGTGAAATTCGTCGGGTCGTGGGAGGAACTCGACGGCAGCGCCGAAACGCCGCTGAAAGGGGGAGTGACTCCAATTAACCCCTGTGTCAATCCGGTACTCCGTGCTTGTGTTCAACGTGTGCCGAGAGCCAGCGAGCTTGCACCTGAATCGTACGAGACCTTAGAAGCGCGCGCGCGCGTAATTATCTTAAAGAGACCGGAAAAACTATAAGCGAGCATTTATCGAACCTGTTACCGTTTAATCTTGTTTTTGACTCGACGGATTCTGATAGCATAATTTGACCTCATTATGTCGTTGATAACTCAGGCGCGATACAAGCAGCTGCATTCGGTTTATCTTTCGCGTTCGCCAATTTTGCAAAACACGATCGTACAGAGTAATACAGAACATATTTTTATGAATTTCTAAATCGCTAAAATTCTTTAATGAGACGAGAAAGATTCACCCGCTTCTTTAACATCGAATCAACCCTAAAAGTATAGATAATAATACATATAAAACTGTACATTATAAAACTATTATATAGCTATTATAATATATTATATAATATAATATATATTATTATAGTATATTATATAAACTATTATATAGCTATTATAATATATTATATAATATAATATGTATTATTATAGTATATTATATATAAACTATTATGAAACTATAATGTCGGCAAGACGGAATTCATTTAGACTTTCCACAATCTTTATTGCAATGTATGCTTCGATTAAGGAGTTTATTCAATCAATTAACTAGCGTTAAATAGTTGCAACAAATTCAGATTTTGTACAAAGATCCGCAGTTCTCTTAACGCTGAATCTACTTTATAACGACAAGAAGCATTTATCTCGACACCGTTTTACAAACAAGAAAAATATAGCCATTCATAATAAGCGGCTCGGTAGATTAAGCGTTAATACGATTCCATTTCGAAATCGGCAATTTTCCCTTCGACGACGCGCGCCGTTTTACTTATACATAATTGAGTAACGACGTCTGCCATGTGTTGGCGGAATGTAATCGACGAGGTGTTCGATCGCAGTCGAGGCTCTGCGCAACTCTCGAGATTCTCCGGCGATGCGATGTGCGCTCAACGAGGCGGATTATTGCAGATGAACAAAACATATTATAATATCTCAAGGCTGTGAATCCGACCTTGTTCCAGCTACGTGTACGCACACGATTGGTATCGCGCGCGTTTGTTTGCAGCCTGCCACCACGCCGCGCTGTCTTGGCTCGTCGAGCGTACCGCGGCAGATTTTCGAACGATTAAGTAATTGGACGTCGGGATATTGTCAATGAGTGTTTAGCGTTACACCGATCTCACACCAGATTACTCGGTCGCGTGAGAAAATCGCTAATGCAATATCTTTCAGTAACACCGTTCACGGGTCTCCTTATCTAACTCCCGGCTATTAGTTTGCTATTCAGACGATGCAGTTATGTGTGAACCACGTCCCCGGGAATCCTTTCTTTTTTCCGTGGGCCTTCCGGTCGCGGGGAAGCGTTTCTTTTTAATTACGATCTCTCGAACGAATCAATTTCGAGTGTACGATCGAAAACGCTGTTCAATTATTTCTTGAATATAACGCGCCGTCGATCTTGTTTAACGATCGGGACACGCAATTATCGCACTGTATATTGCCGTAATTACGGACTGTAATTGCGTTGTTGCCAGTCAGACTTTTACATCCTATAAGAAACAATCGCCGGAGCGGCACCAACACCGCGACCGTCGATTTTTCCGTTTCAATGGGAGAATCCGTGGAACATTCGCCGATCGCGGTTCCACGAACGGCGCGAGACATTGGTCTGAACACGGGACGACTGCGAAACGGGACTCGTAATTCAACCGACAACTATAATAAAATTTTACGCGACGATGCTGCTCGCTGTTTATCCGTTATATTTAGAAGAACGGACTCAAGTATCAAGTACAGGCCGCGTTTTACAATTTCTTCACGGCGATCTGATGTCGGCGGGGTCAGACGACTGCCGGTATTAATAAACCGGTGCGCCGATAATCGAGACGCAATTAGCGCGCGGGGAAAAGCGAGCGAGAAAAATAAAAAAAAAGATCGATTCTTTTGTTGGCGCCTGTGCGGGACGGCTGCTTTCACGATATTTTTCGGTCTAACGACTTTCCCCATTTTTCTCGGTCAACGTTTACACGGTCCGTTTCACGACTAACGACGTAAAAATAACGAAAAAAAAAGGAGAAGAACGCCACGGAGAAAAGAGACGACGGCGGTCGTTCGTTTGTTGCAACAATGACCCAGCTCCGAATTTACCGAGGAAAAGAACGGTCTTTGTGTAAATTCGTGTCTCCCCGGGCGCAATGTTTCCTTCTCTTATTCCGATTCAACATCTCGCACCAATTAGGTATGCATTCATGCATTAGGCGTTGTAGTAGATTTCCTTGGGAATTTGTAATTCAAAACGTTTCTGCTCCAGAAGATCGTGTTTAGACTGCGGGCCTTTGCGCGTGTATAACATGAGTAGGCAGGTGACGTGCAGAACAGTCGAAGCGTTAATAGAATATGAAAAAGGTAGTGTGTCATGTTCGATTTATTAAAACCGATATCGAATTCATGTTTCTCGTTAGTGGATTGCTGATTTTATGTATTTCTGATAAAATTAACTGCGATACAAAACTGTAAACAGATTAGAAGAATGTTTCTATATTATTTACAACTTATTAGAATTGTTGAAGAAGGAGAGACATCGTCGTCTGATTTACGTTTCTTACAATTAACTCGGACGATTTTTATTTCGCATACAAATTCACTGTCTAATTATAAGTACAGTAATGTCTCCCTAACCGACGCTCAGATTGTGCACAAAAATGGTCTATTTGGGAAGAGGAGATACGATTATTCGAGCCTTGTAGCTCGTCCCATTTCTGTGGACAATTCGAGCGTCAATTAGAGAGACATTGCTGTAATCTACGAATCTTCATGCATTTACGGCGTGGACAGACTTCCAAAAAGACAATAGCCAATATACAATAAAAATTAGCGTTCTTTCCTCTCGTTTTACTTTCTGTAAAATTAAGCACGTGTAACCAACAAAGAACATTTTCATTTGCAATCACAAGTTACGTCTCGTCG